AATATCTTAGAATATCAATATCTTAAGATATCAATATCTTAGGATATCAGTATCTTATGATATCAGTATCTTAGGATATCAATATCTTAGGATATCAATATCTTAGGATATCAGTATCTTAGGATATCAATATCTTAGGATATCAGTATCTTAGGATATCAATATCTTAGGATATCAATATCTTAGGATATCAATATCTTAGGGTATCAGTATCTTAGGATATCAATATCTTAGAATATCAATATCTTAGGATATCAATATCTTAGGATATCAATATCTTAGGATATCAATATCTTAGGATATCAGTATCTTAGGATATCATAGGATTATCTATGTTGGTTTAACCATATAATACTATTTATGTAACGGTACACAAACCTCGAATTCATTATACATTTGATTGTGAACCTGTAAACATGTCTTATCCTTGCGAGGTCTGTGGAAGATCGTTTTCAACACCTGGTAACCGTTCACGTCACAAAAAACAGATGCATAGCACCGGTACAGATGAACGAAAGTTAACTGTAATCGGCAATAGGTCCAGTGTTATGCAGCATCCTTTCACGTGCATCGTAGCTGGGTGTACACAAAGCGGCAAAACCGTATGGGTGAAATCTCTTTTGGAGAGTGCTCAAACGTCTATAAGTCCACCTCCTCAACGTATCATTTGGTGTTATGGTCAATGGCAACCCTCCTATTTTGATATGATGAGAACGATGGCTGGAATCGAGTTTAATCAAGGCATCCCCGAAGACATCGACAACCCAGATTACTTGGACGTATCTCAACGGAATTTAATCGTATTGGATGATCTTATGGCTCAATCTGGCAAAGATAAACGTATTTCTGATCTTTTTACGAAAGGAAGCCATCATAGAAATTTGTCCATCATCTATATTGTCCAAAATATATTTCATCAGGGCAAAGAAATGAGAAATATCAGCCTTAATGCTCATTATATCGTGTTGTTCAAATCACCAAGAGATAAACAGCAAATTTCTATGCTTGCAAGGCAGGTAGATCCTGGTAAAGTACAAGAATTTATGAAGAGTTATGAAGATGCCACGAGCCGACCTCACGAATACTTGATGTTGGATTTAAAGCCAACAACAGACGACCAACAACGACTCAAGACCAACGTACTTCCCGGCGAGATTGCAAAGTTTATACAAAAACAGTCATATCAACAACCACAACAATTAAATGCAATGTATGATGCCGAGCAGCGAATGAAAGAAATCATAGAAGCGCCACAGCTGAGCGCAGTGGAAAAAAGCAAGTTATATTCTGATCAGCTAAACCGGTTTCTGACATTCAAAAATAAGATGGATGTCCCGGCTCAAGCCCCTGTTCAGAGAACTCCACTAGTGTCTGCAGAAATACCACCACAAGTACCTCCTATTTCTGTACCAACGGAAATACCATCACCAATACCTGCCACTCCTAAACCTAATTTCCTTACACCGCCACAAACAGAAGAGGAACGACCAAAACTCAAGCGCAACTTTTTTCACAATTGGGTAGATTCTGCTGATTGGAAAGAAAGTGATTTGGCTATGATGAAACCGAAGGAAAGAGAGCGTTATGAACGTTTTTTACTAAACGAAAGGCCGAAATATATTCCAATGAAACATGAAGATGTTGCACGATTATCACCTGAAGATAGACAAGAATATGAGAACTCTTTAAAAATAACAAAAACACCTAAACGTTATGCTCTGAGAAGTAGACCGTACTAAATTTTGTAAAACGTTTTGAAGAAATAAATGCAATTTTAAAACTGAAATCTTGTGTAAATGTTTGCCCGCAAAGCCCGATCTTTCCTATCCGCGCAACCCGCCCGCCTGAGTACAACTATGTCGTACATTAATATATGCATGCACCCAAGCGCCGCTAATGACCGACAATACATAACAACGTATATAGCAACCGCACATTTGAGTTAATTTTTTTATGACAAAATATATTACAACTGTTCTAAAAGTTTTTTCCCACAGAATCAAAATGTACCATTTTTCGTAGTCGAAGAGGTAGTAACTTTACCGTGTAGACATGAACCATGCGTTGTCAACTAAAGACTATGCTTCGAACAGACCGGCTTCGAGCCAAACTCCGAGCTATTTAGATTATATGCTTCGCTGTAAGCTTTCAAAGTTTCCGGTTATTTTGAATTAGGCTCCGAAATACATATACATTTTTCCGCGAAAAAGAACGCCTGTTTTTAAATCTTGCGAGCTGGGCTTGAACCAACGACCTAAGGAACTACAGTCCTCCGCTCTACCAGCTGAGCTATCGCAAGAGCAGGTTTTAATCACCCGAAAAAAAAAAACAATCTAGACCAGGCCTGCCCGCGTTAATTGGTCGCCTGCCACATTTGGCCCAGACCTGCCCGCGTTAATTGGTCGCGCTACCTGTCACAGTTGGCCGAAGGTTAGGGTTAGGGCCTGCAAAGTTACGTCATAAATTTTGCATACTAATTACTTCCGTCCCCAGATGGGGGTCTTTCACTACTTAGATTCATTTAAAACTTTGTCAGTGAAAAAGCTGATCAAGACCAGGATTAAAGGTTTTGTTATAAAATAGTACATATATGTATAATTTCGTCTTAGGTCGAGTAACCCAAAGATCACACATAACAAAAGTCATATTTAGGGTTCGTGGCATGTCACCAATTTAAATGAATATACATCGACATAATAAAAGTACGTAGTTTAATGTTTAGGCTTTTATTAAATTAAAGGGAATTTAATATATTTTAACATTTTGCTATATACGATTTTTAGGCCCTCCTCACAGCCAATGTAGTGTGTTTACCTGGCAGTAACCTCTCTATCAATATTTCCAAGCAGGATTGCTCGGACTGAGACTTGTATGTCATTTTCAGTCACTCCTTGTGCTGTCTCAATCAAGCGAATAGATGGGACTATATAAGAGAAAAATATTAGTGCTGATAGTTACAAACAAAACGGGCATTACAGTGTATAACGTTGAGGTAAATGAATCAGGTAAATGAGTGCCACATCTTGGGGTACGAAACTCAATAGGTCCAATAGTAATAAAGATGCCTAGAGGAGTTTGTTGAGTAGTTGTACTTCAATTTATTTATATATATTGAATGTATTTCTATATAGACTAACTAAAAAAAGGTTGTCTTTTAAAAATATTCAACCTTAAACATTAAGCGCGCAAGGTATGATGGTTATTGTTTACTTGGAGCCTTTTAGATCGAACATTATCTTAGCGAACCAAATAGCCCTGTATTGAAAGTGTTCGTTATGTAAGAGGGTGATGCCTGAGTAGAAGGTAGGCTATAGGTAAAATATCGAGATTTTGGGGCATCTCGCTCGATAGAATAACAGTTGAAGGGTTTTGGTAGATGAAAATTTCAAGCGATTTTCTTTGTGCTTAAAGGGAAATGGCGACATAAATTTTTATTTTCTCATTTGAAAGAACTGTTGAAACTATATATTAACTTCTTTTACCGATTTTTCATATATCTTGCTTAGTTCTTGAAATATTTTCATTTAAAGTAATGAGATGTCCTCCATCTTGGATAAATTTTTTATCTCATTAATTAACGTTAGTTTTGGTGACGTAACAACAGGGATTAACCATATAAAAGTATTCGTTGCTGACCAAATATTGATTGGTAGATGTTTTAAAGGTTTTGAGTGATCTTGATATTTCGAAGGGCAGACACAGTATAGTTTTGAGTGCAAAATGATTAGTAGTTGTCTAGATAAAAATATTGCGTGACCCTTGTTGTGACGTGACATGCATATCTACAAAAATTGAAGATGCCGGACATTTCATTCCTTTCGATCAAAATATTTGTAGAAGTAAGCAAGATATGAAATATCGGTAAATAAAAGAGTATTATATACAGTCTTAAAAGTTCTTTCAAATGAGAAAATTAAAAATATATTGCCATTTCCCTTTAACTCATGAACTATTAAGAGGAGAATCTTTTGTATGTTACGTAACAATCGCTCAAGCTATAATGAATATACTTTTCCTTCCACTTTACCACTATTTGGAGGGCCACTAGTTTATCAGTTTTACTTATATTACTGTCAAAGTGTTACCCTCTTTAAATAAAGTCGCAAACCAAACCAAACAAAACTATATTCAATTTTTTAAATTCTCGATGCATTTCTCAAGCGGAAAAAAGTATTTTTAGTGCTTTATCTGCAAAATAATGCTAAAATGATGATATTTTAGATGGTACGCCAAAGAGAAAATGATGTCTGAAGTTCAGTAAGTTTTGATTATATTGCTGTATAAATATGGCGTCAATTGTACAACATAAATAAAAATTGTACTTGAATTGATAATATTTAACTGTTATTATTTTGTGTTCCTCAACCGCCAGATACGTTTGAAGCAAATTGCGTTTTAATGAGTTTGAGAAGTTAAATTAACCAGTGGAAAGGCAAAATTGTAAAATAGAAAAAGGAATTAAAGTCTTATAGGAATTATAGGTTTTGAACATCACGTACCATCATTGTCATTTATATTGACACTGGCAGTATTGGAAGAAATAGTATCACTCGTGATAGCAGTCAATTGTACTTGGAAGGTTTCTAGCTGTTCAATAATGTCGTCATCATTTATTCCAATGGAAATCCAACGAACTGCCCCATTTCCATCACCGATATTAAACTGAAGTAGTCCATCGGCAATCTCGTCATAGTCCCCCGGGGATTTTGCAGTATTGTTTATTGTTGAATACCTACATGAAGCAACAAAGATTGCTGTAAGTTTTATGAAGGATTTTTACTAAATACAAGATTTCTAGGTAAATTACATGTCAATATCAATACCATTAAATCGAGAGGCCTGCATTAATAAGATTGACACTTTAAAACTTGTCAATACACCGTAAAACTTGATAACATAATTCTTGAGGGCATACAGTTGCTTTAATGTACATGGGACATTAAAAAGTCGCTGGTTTATAAATAGAGTAATTTTAAACCTATAGTAATATTAGCATTGAGGAAACAAACAAAACAAATTAATTAAGAAACCTGAATATAACAGTTCGTCCAAGCGGAGCTGATGAGAATAGAACGACTGACAAATTAGCAAATTGTGAAGATTCTTGAACATCGTAGGTCGTAGGTTGGAATCCAAAGATTGCCACTAAAAACATAATGACAATAGGACGTTAACCTATACGCATTTCAAAAAAATACCTTAGTATAAGTACAACGATTTGCATGTGAATCAATATATTGGGAATCCTAATTCCTAATTAACCCTCTAGGTTAGGAAAATCCAGGGACGCCGGAACTGGCGGGCAGGAGGGGCAGCCGCCCCCATTGCCCTTTACCAGGAGGGGCAAGGGGGGGGGGCAAAGGTGCCCTTTCAATTTAAAGGATTGCCTGAGCGAAATAGCGAATTGTCTGAAATGTTAGTGCAATTCTTTTACGAATTTGCTTCAGAAAACGCAAGAAATACAGTCATCGAGCTACAAGAATAGCACAATCGCCTGGCGGAGAACCCCCTCACACCATTATCATCCAATAAATAGAAAACATGATTAGGCGAAGTTCAACTCCCGATGTTTTGCAAACATCTCTTAGTATATATAAATTCAAAAGTGCCCTTTCACGAAAATCTGCCCCCCTTGCCTTCACATCGTTCCGGCGTCCCTGGCCGAAAATCTAAAGCTGGTCAACCGCGGGTCGTGAACAACCGCCCTTCTTGCACCACAAGATTCTTAGGAATTTCTTCAAGAAGTAAATATTACTTTAAACCCAGGAAAAACAAGGAAATATTGTTTCCTACAACAAATTCAAAAATATAGATTATTTTTAATTTTTAATTACATAGAATTATGGTCTTTTTTTCAATATTTTATTATTTTCGCAATTACGTTTCGGGCAGTTATTATAATAAAATATTAAGACCTTCCTTATAATCCTATAGAAGTAAAAATTAAAAATAATTTATACTATACGAACGGAGGTAAGAGTTTTAGAAAGAAAATCAAATTCAAAAACATTTCTTGTTTCCTTTTAGGGCGAATTTTCTCGTGATAAAACAATCATGGTTTATCATGCATGCGCCCTTTGGAAACATATAGGACATAATAGACAATTTGCATATTAAACTAATTTTTGATCTAGGAAAATTTTTTAGTAAATTCTCGTAAAGAACTTATTAAAATTAGTAAAATTTGGTTACGAAATGTTGTAAAATACGGAAAATATAGCCTTGCCAAGTTTGCATATTTTGTATATGTTTGTATATTACGTGCGGAAATTGTTACCATTTTTGAGCCGAAAATGGTACAACATTTACAAATTTTCCAAGACTATATTTTCCACGCTTTACAACATTTCGCAACCACATTTTGCTATTTTAGTAATTTTATTATGTTCTTTTTAGCTGTGGTATTTGATTCTCCTCTCGTTACTTAGATTAAAATTTAGTCTAACATGCAAGTTGTCCGCAACAATGTTTCCTAGGGCTTACTGCATACTTGTCTACTCACCATCGTTGTCAGTTATAGAGATTGACGCACTGGATGTAGGTGTTATCCGCACATTGTTGCTAACAGCATCAAGACGAACGTTCATAAATTCTAAACTCTCGACAACGCCGTCATCGACAATAGTGATATTGCGCATTTGCGTGGTCGGTGAACCCGGAGAGAAAGTTACGATTGGATCATCTAAATTAGCGTAGTCTGACGAAATAGCTGTTAGTGGTAAAAGAACCAACCTGAAAAATAACATATATATATAAAGCAAGTTTCTCTTTGTCTTTGAGGTTTTGTTGTGGCTGCTTTTTAGTGAGTATAGCAAAAAGAAGGAAAAACAGAGCCCCAGAGGAAACTTATTTCCAAGTGGTTAGGAAAACGTCTTCCAGGAGTTAACCTTATCAATAATGTTTTTGAATTAGAACCTCATCCAAGTGTCTCATCCCTGATTATAAATAGTTTCTTGAACCGTACTGGGCAGTTGAGCATCGCGCTTATAATAGTATATAAGCATCGCTCACAATAGACCGATAAGGATGGGAAAGAGTCCGCTGTGCATGTGCGCACATGAGCAATGCCATCATGGGGGCATATACTGCACAAATAACCGACCAAAAATATAAATGTAAACTCACCTTGCTTGTACCACTGTCTCCAACGTACCAATGACATTTATAGAAACTTCAACCATTGGCGAGTTCTCACTACCTTGGTAACTGTTTTGTCCAAGAGATATCAACGCGTCTATAATTTAACATTAAGTAGAAAATTATTTGTTAGAAAAACTAGAACATAGAATGAATATAGTAAGAGAGTGGCCGAACCTTCGTCATCAAAACATGTACAACCAAGAAAACTATATATACTTTTATATAATAACCTTGCTGAACTAAAAAGTGTAGTATAACAATTTGTCATTAGCAGATATGTCAAAGTAACTTTTCATTCCTTCAGGTTCCGGAATACTTTGAGGATTTCAATAAAACTTTCTGTATGCAAATACTTAATCCCTTATATTTGTTTACTCGTCCATTTTTCTTTACTCCCTGCCAGTTCGAGCCGCACCATATACAATCAAAATTTGTTCTTACTATTTTAAAACTTTCAGTACTATGGATGATAGGGTTGGGCGATATTTCGATACTGTTTTGATTTATCGCGATATTTTCAATCGCGATTATCGTATCGAAGGTAGAAACTTGAGCGACGATATATCGAAATTAACGTCATGCTCGATGACTATTGTGATATTGCTTCGCATGTGTATATAGCTTTTATAAAATCCTAAAAAAATATTTCAATTCCTAGAAAATATAGTTTTTAAAAGAATTAAAACTATTTCCTGAATTAAATGCGCCCTACTTATTTTTTTACTTGTCTAACGCCAGACGACTTTACTCGTCAATGAGGAAGCACTGCAGCTTAATGGGTTAATTTGTTGTTTTACTTGTTTTTAATAAGATTATATATAAGCTTACTATGTTTTGATATTAATTAAAATTGAAAAATGTGGTCAATGTTTTTATTGCATTTATCGCGATATTATTGAATATCGTGATAATTTCCTTGACAATACTCGTGAGATGATTTTTTTAATATCGCCCAACCCTAATTTATTGGATGATATTAAAGTAACATATTTTAAGCACACTAAAAACATGAATAGTACTAGTAAAACGTCATCAAGGCAGTTTTAAGATCGTTAATGTGGCACACACTTACTGTCATTGTCAAGGATCGTAACAGTTGTAATCCCATCATCAATTCTCACATTAAGACTTGTTGTTGATAGAATAACACGAAAGACCTCATCACTTTCAATGAATGAATCATCTATGGTGTTTATGGCAATAGATGCTTGAGTATTACCAGGACTAAAGTTCAAGTCAGTTGACGAAAGAACATTGAAATCTCCATTACTCGCACTTTCAAGTACGACTGAAGCACTATATGTAACATTGGTGAAAACACAAATTAAAATGAGAATTAGATCTAATCCCCTAGCCAACGCCGGGCATAAGCCCGAGGCGAGGGTACTAATCAGAGCGCGCGCCTTTCACCTCTGATATCGGAGATTCAAATCCAGTTGGAAACGACTTATGATAGCCATGTGAAAAGAGTTAGTCAACACTCTGCCGAAAGCCGTGGGTTTCCTCCGGGTACTCCAGTTTGCTCCCACAGGGAATGTTAACAGGGTTGGTTACGATTTTCCCTTAAAAGTAACCCTTCCATGTGCTCCGTGATGGCGAGTCAAAAGGTGGCTGTAATATGCGCCCTTAGAAAGCCTTGCACTCGATCACGTTGAGCTGGGTCCTTCGCAATTCAGCTTAGCTCTCAGTTGCAAGCAAGGATAACCCCCCCCCCCCCCTACTTACCGAATGCATTAGCTAAGTCTAAAGTTCATCAATAATCGCGGGCGCATGAATATAGTTCGCCGTTCATGGGTGGTCATCCTTACTGATCTCAAAATATAGCAAACACTGATTGGTCAAATTTGAAATTTGCATTATAACGAATGCATGACGACAGCGAAACAACAAATATTTCTTGCAAATATATTTCCTTTTGCAAGATCATAGGCAGCCCAATGTTATGGTCGTAACGAAATTATCGTTGCCCGCGCGCGGGAGACGTACGTCACTGGCAATACGCAATTGTATAGGCACAATACAGTTATACTATTTCATATTGCAGTCAAATAGTATAACTATATTATGCCTGCATTGCGTATCGCCAGTGACATACGTCGCCCGAGCACAGGCAACGAGAATTTCGTTACGAGTCGAGACCAGAACGTCGGGCTGTCTATGGCAAGATTTTGTAAATTTCAAAACCTTTTTGAGAAAAAAACCCCAAAAAGTTCTAAAAGAAGGGAGCAAAGAAGCATACGTTAATGAAGGTAAGTTTGTTTTCAATATTAATGTTTGTTTGCATGCTTATAGTTGCATTAAGAACTGATCGTTGCGTATAATAAAAAAGACAGGCATTAGTGATATTTTTGGGGGATTTTTCAATCTTAAAAACACTCTTTTAAAATAAAATTATCGTGTTATTAAATACTTCATGTTTTGTCAGCATGGCGAGAGTTTCTGCATGCATGTATTTTCTAGTTATAAAATAAAAAAAACAAACAAGAAACAAAAAAAACAACTTACGTCGCAGACACTTGAGTAGTCAGTGGTCCAGTAAGTTGAACAATAAGGAGAGCAACGCTTCCTTCGTTGACTTCGTAATCTAGTACATTGCTGAATCCCAGTGAAGCCACTAAATAAAAATATTTGAGGAAAAAGAACTTTAAATGTCTTCCTAGACATCATAACTTTTTCATAGGTCTAAAGTATGCACATTCTTGAACACAAAAATAGCCACAGCCACAGGATTTCAAAACAATAGCTAAAACAATAGATTTATGCAACTTTTTGTTCGAGGACTCTTTACTAAGCTGAACAATTAACCTACAAATGCTTACTATGTATGTTAAAATATGAAATTTGTGAATGATCTAATGAAGTTTTGGCGAGTCTTATAATTGTTTTGTTTGTGGAAACACCACGTAAATTTATTACTACACTTAATTTATAAATTTACGTGGTGTTTCCACAAACAAAACTATTATGTTGTATCGCCATGCAAACGTACAAAGAACTTATTGCAAGTCTAACTTGTTGTGCAAAGGAAATTTTCTCTTCTGCTTGTATACACGTTGGCATTGCTTATACTGCTTTTATGTATTGTATATAAGAAATTCTACCCATATAACCAACATACAATCTTTGGCATAATAGTATAATATCTTTGGCATAATACGTGGAAGAAATGGTATAATACATCTGAATCATGCATGTGAACACTAGATAGTCCCAATGTATATTGTCAAACATTTTAGCTTTGTGTTTCGAGGACAAACTGCTTTGCATGTGATAGTTAGTATTTCCTCCACTAAAATGCCAGTAAGTTTTTAGTTACGTACCATCATTATCAATAATTCGTACGGTCGTCTCATTAATACTTCCAATTCTTGTGAATGAGTTGCTAGTTGATAGGCTAGCGGTGAATCGTTCAGTTCCTTCAATCAAGGTATCATCGACTATATTAACTGTTATGTTCTGTAGCGTTGCTCCTCCAGGTGTAAATGTCAGAACAGAATTGGTTACACTTGTATAGTCAGCTCCTGCCACAGCCGTGTCTTGTTGTGTAGAAACGCTGAAACAATTGAACGTATACACCGTGCTTGATACATATACGCAACTCATATAACATTACAAGCTATCACAATGCACGCTTCCGCAAAGTACGTCATCTTGGTCATAGAGCCTCGTTTTCGTGATTGACACGTTACACGAAAATGAGGCTTTATAGCTTAAGTGATGTACTTTCTGGAAGGATGTATTAGAAATGCGTTTATTTGTATTTTCTAATACTTTATTCGTAACTAATAGACCTTTCCCCTTATAACCAAAATTTTGATATTTCATCACAGCTTGAAAGAGCATCACAAAATTAGTAATATTCCAAAGTTTCGTTGCGAAATGTTGTAAAATGAGGAAAATAGAGCCTTGCAAAGTTTGCAATTTTCAGTCATTTTGCATTACAAACGGGAAATTGCAGCCCCAACACCCGAATCGGATGTCAATTTCCCGTTTGTAATACAAAATGACTGAAAAACGGCAAGGCTATATTATCTGCATTTTACAAGATTTTGCAACAAAACTGTGGAATATTACTAATTTTGTGATGCTCTTTCAAGCTGTGATGAAATTTTTGTCTAGATCGAAATTTTAGTTATAAGGGGAAAGGTCCATTGATATGAATAGAAACCAAGACTGTGTTAAATATAACTAAAATACAAGAGTCAAGTTTATTATTATTATTTACCAACACGTATCAAAGTGTCAAAGTTCGTGTGTTCTTGCATGGCATTAGACAAGAGAGTATCACGTGAAAGTCATGAAATTCGACTGTCTCCTGAAAGTCATGAAATTCGACTGTCTCCTGAAAGTCATGAAATTCGACTGTCTCGTTTACTTTTGGGGCTATAGCCCCCCCCCCCCCTAGCCCAGTCGTTTCGCCACCACTGCCCTCGACGGTCGATGTTCCTCTTGGGTTCACCACGGGAAACCTTGACAGTCTCGGATCCACAGAACATACTGTTTTCCTGAACGTTTTCAATAAGTGTTTCTTTCTTCAATATGGTGTATTTTGCAGTATATTTTCTTATGGATATACAGAATTTCCAATTAAGTTTATTCTGTTACAATATTTAAATATTGTAACAGAATAAACTTAATTGGACATTCTGTATATCCATAAGAAAATATACGGCAAAATACACCATATTGAAGAAAGAAATTTCTTCATAAGGATTATCTGATTATTAGCTATACTAACAAAGATATAATCAACGTACCTCACTGAAGTAGGATCTTCTAAAACCCCAGTCAAAATAACCCAGATATCGACAGAACCAAAGGTTTCATTTCCAGAGAAGACTGCACTTGTAAACTGCACAGTCGCAACTTAGAAGAAAATGTTTTAAAGAAGTTAATAAACATGGGTACGAGGCAAAGGAAGCCGGTTGGGGAAGTGTTGCCAGCAGGGCAAGGGGTTGAAAAAATGGTTCCCAATAATGTCGAAACACAAAACTAAAAAAATATCCGAAAAATTTTGTACGATATTTTGTAATAGCAAAAATGAAAATGCACTAAAAGATAGCCTATAATCAACTGTGCATTTTATTCAAATGCTTGTCGAAATCATCAATACTTACAGTCATCGTCAATAATATTAATCGTGTGTTCATTAACAGAACCCAGGGTCACTTGACTTGAAACTGCATTCAAAACAACTTTAAATGATTCTCCTTCTTCAATTCCCTGGTCATCAAGGATAGTAAAATCCACAGTTTTAAGTACCTCACTAGGTTGAAACGTTACACTTTCTGTTTTTGTGATGTAATCGACATCTCCTGTAGCAGAATCAGCTTGCGTGCTGACACTAAAAAAGAAAGAGAACCACATACCAACGCTGTTTACAAGCAAAAGACACTTTTTAAAGATTAATATGTAAAATAATATAATCGGTGCCTATAGTGTATATAAAACAACGAGAAACACGTCGCGATGAGGAAAGCTGCATATCCTCCAGAGGTGCACATTACAACATCAATTAGGTGCCTCTTAAATTAATTACTTCAACTTATTACAGTAACTTTTTTTACATTGGGTTTTTTTACTCAGGAAATCCTGGTAGATTTATCCAGATTATGTTAAGTGGATACACAACCAATCCCCTGGTTAATATTTAATTAATTTATTTATTTACGACCTTCGCCATAAATGACTGGTGATCCCTACAAGGCTTATATATTGCCCCATATATCTACAAGGCTCGACAAAGGACGACACGAGTGACTTTTAATTCCATTTAATCCCATTCTACACAAAGCTACAGCTAGTACTTTTAGAATGTGTGCCGTTTTTTATTATATAATAATGTTATGAATTCAAGCGCTTTCATTGGTCGAGAGCCATTATCTATTAGAGGACAGACGCACGGAATTACGTCACAATTAAGGTAGCCAATAGCATTCCCTTATTTGTATAGATCATGTACGCGTGATACTTGTAAAATTTCGAATTTTTTAAATTCCCAAATGTTTGGGTGGATAAATTTAAAACGTAAGCTATTTACCTGCTTAATTTGGGATTTTTTTTCGTATTACATAACTGAACAGACAACGGCAAAATCTTATCTATTTGTTAAATAGTTGAAAAGGAATTGTATAGCTTGCACATTACGTACCTTACTGTTACAGGAATTGCTCTCGGTCCAACAGCACTAAGCTGGACAGAAGTATCTCCTGATCCCTCAACAGCTGATGACGCAATACTAGTAAACTGAACAACCACATCTGCAAAGAGGATAAATGGGGTCATCGTTGAGGTTATTAATGTATTGGTGAAACTAATGAAAATTGTATTGGGGAATCCCATAATTTGCATTCCACTAAGCAAAACGATGACAAGAGATGGGTGAAGACGCTTGATCTTCGTATGTTCTCGAATTTGATAATAGCAGCGATATGCGTATATGATAGGTAATTTAATTGGAACGTTCATTGCAGGAGGGAAATGTTATTTATGCTGTAAACCGCCCAGTGTACAACACTTGAATGCTTTGTGGCGACGTTGTTAGCATTGATGTGACTTCACCAGAAAATGTTTGAACATCCGAGCAAGCTAGCTTGGGTAGTTTTGAAAAATTATTTTATGTATTCTGAGGTTCTTGGCTACGGCTCTGAGCAGGGATGCATGAACAGCTAAGGGGTGGATCATCAGAAAAATGATGAGGGAGAGGAAAATTTTCAGCTTGCACGAATATTTTTCGTCCGTCTGCTTGCGCTGGAATTTTTTTGCGGAATTTTGAAGGTAGTTTTCTTCGCTTTCCTCTTTGCACGATTTTTTCCATTTTCCTTCCTGTTTTTTGTACGCCTCCCCCACACACACTAACGCTCCCCAATAACGTTTCTAATGGTTCTCCCCTAACTTCGTATCCATGACAGTAGGGTGACAATTTTGGTAGACAGCTACCATTATTAATATCCCACCTACTGAAAGATATTCCTTAAGAATTCATAAATTTCAACTGATCATGATATGAACATGTAAAAGCCATGTTTTCACTATTTAATAATTGGTTGAAATAAGCGATGCATGGTCAACATCAGAACTGTTGGAATGAACGAAAATAAGAAAGGTATCAACATTATTTTCTCACTTTGACCATCGGTTGACAGCATCTGTTGCACCATATAGCTTAGCGATCTTTAATATAATGAATATATTCTGAATTGACCATAGAAGTGCTTACGTTACGTAATTTTCAATCCATCTAAACATTAAGTATACCAAATGCAATATGGGACACATGTGGATCAAATATTCATTGTTTGACAGTGACGTGACGTAAGAACTTCTAAGGTCAATGAAGTCAGTGAAAATTTAATATTTCTGTGATCTTACCATCATTATCGTTAATAAGTACGGACGCTTGAGCCCCAAGTAATATCCCAGAAGTGCTCGACAAGGAAACTCTAAAGAATTCACTCGCTTCAACGATGTCATCATCAGCAGTTATAAAATTGACAGTCTTGGGACCAGTCTCTCCAACTGCAAATGGTACTGCTGTTATTGTGGAGGTGAAGTCGGTATTTCCAGCAGTTCCAACTTGAGCATTAACACTAAAATTGAATTCAAATTCAGTTTACAATAGGACACATCTATTAACAAGGCATACAATAGTTGTTTCCTTACGAAAGGTAATTTGCAGTTTTCAAACTACGTCATAGAAATAGGAGTGAAATTCCTGTGTGGGAATCTTTCGTATAACATTCACAATGTTCGTGTTTTTTCTGCTTGACTTTAGTAAAGCATTCGACAGAATCAACCACAAAATCCTGATAAAAAAGATGCAATTACTAAATATTGATAAATCCTTAATAAACTGGGTCATTGATTTTCTGATGCAAAGAAGACAGAGGGTGAAATTGGGTTCTTCGTTCTCTGATTGGTCCTTGGTAAATGGAGGCGTCCCGCAAGGTACAATCCTTGGCCCATTACTTTTCCTCATCATGGTCAACGATTTGGCTATTAACCACACATATAGATGGAAATATGTTGATGACACTAGTCTCTCCGAAACAATCGGTAAAGGTTGTCAAAGTAACCTGCAATCCGTTATTAATAATATCGATCAATGGTGCACGGAAAATGATATGATGCTTAATCGTTCTAAATGCAAAGAGCTAATTATCTCGTTCGCTAAGGACGTCCCTAATCTACGACCATTGTTTATTAAAGATCACTGTATGTCCCCAGTTTTATCAGCAAAGGTTCTTGGTCTGTACTTTTCTTCTGATCTTAGTTGGAACTTACATGTTGAGCACATAGTACACAAGGCATCAAAGAGACTTTTTTTTTCTCCGAGTGCTTAAACGCAGCGGTCTTGGAGGGAATTCTCTAATTCAAGTCTATACCACATGTATACGACCTGTGCTTGAATATGCATGCCAGGTTTGGAACTTAAACTCCCCTGACTATTTAAAGGAAGAAATCGAAAGAATTCAGAAGCGACCCCTACGAATAATATGTCCTGACCTGTCATACCGCAAAGCCTTGGAAGTTCATGAAATATCGTTGCTCTCTCAAAGACGAAATAATTTATGTAAATCCTATTTTAAGAAACTTCTCAACCCGGAAAATAAATTGAATGAACTTATCCCTAATAAACGCGAGGACTTACGTACTTACAATCTACGCAACGATCAGCATATTAACTTAATTAATTGTAAGACTACAAGTTTTATTCCTTCTAGTATCGTATCATATAATGATTCATTTTAATTGTAATATAAATTTTAGTTTTAATATACCGTATATTACCATATGTATTAGTTTTACCATGTATTTTAAATGTCAACTCTGTACAATTCAGCTCTTAGCTGCCATTCAGATTTTGTAATAAATTCAATTCAATTCAATTCAACATCAACCGATGCAGTCTACTCAGCTGTTATGAGACTGCGCGTAGGCTATTTCGCATCGTACTAATTGCAATTTTGTTAATACTAGAATTTTGCCTGCATGGTTATATATACTTATTTCAGGAGGCTATATTTCCACTTCGGTTTGTTTCTTTTTTTGTCTGTCTGTCAGCAGACTATATAGAACAGTTCAATCTCAGCGGTTATTGAGCTAATGGTCACACGCCAAGGACAAATCGTTCAAATTAGTGAGATTTAGGGTAGAAATCTATAAAATGTTTTCTTATCTTCTGGGGTAAAAGAACTAGATGCACAATGCATGTATAATTAATGCTGATGCGCATAATTATTGCATGTTATTAACTTTCGCACGGATACCACTCTAGCAGGTTCTCAATCGAATTTAGGGTATAGGAGGCGTTAGATAGGGTAGGGGCCAAAAGTGGATGTCTATGCCATGCCGAAGCTACCGTTCCCCTGCAGTGTGTGCATGTGAAGATTTTGAAATTTAAACAGTGGCAAAACCAGCCATGGCAACTGGCCATGCTTTACTATTAAACCTGCATCTACAGTAAATAGGTTAAAGATGATGTCCACTCCGCTTGTGTGCGCATGCGCAAACTTTGTTTACGTTTTGAACTGCTATATTTGTAAAATATGATATACTAACTGAATATCTAACACTTTTCTGGTTCGCCATGCTTGTAAATGAATATAAACTCTACGTTTCAATTCAAAAAAGTTCGAAAGATGCAAAATTTGGGCAATGTTTATATCTGGGGTCCACTTTGTTATGAGCAGAACTGATGCGCAGAACCGAGTGGACATCATCTTTAAAGACGATACATTTCTAAAGGTTTGAATAATGTAAGTCATTCAGAATTTGCATAGCATGACCTGTTGCTATGGCTAGCTTCGCCACTGAATTTAATTAACCTTCTGAAATGGCATTTCCAGCAATTTTGGAGAGTAGTTTTGTGGATTGTGTCATATTATCAAAGTATTTAACGAAGAATATTATTTAAAATTTATGTTATCAAAACAAGAAACCTTTCTCTTGACATTTCTGTCCTAAGGAAGAAATATATTGGGTTATATTTTCGAGAAATAACTGGCGATGGTCTACGCTATAGACGGCGAAAACCTGTGGGTGCCGATTTCTATTGGAAACCCTGCCCAAGGTGTCCTCTACAGAATCTGTAACTCTTGTATAGATTGAAGTTATCATCCTAATGATAGCCAGTAATATTCGGCATTGCATTATTTTTATGCACACTAGAGTACGACGTTCTTACAAAGTTACCTGACAGTGACAGATGATCCTAATGTACCAGCGGTGACTTGAACCATCACAGTTGCTAGCTGTCCTTCCGTAACACTGTATGAACTTGATGTAAATGATATTTGAGCAACTGAAACGTAAAAATACAAGTTTTATAGTTATGTCTGCAAGTTATGTCATCACCACAACTGGTGTTTACGATTGGGCGTCTGGTACGCGAGGTCGTAAATGAAAAGAACAGCAAAATTCGAAATACAATTTCAGGGTAGGTAGAGGATTTATGGTATACTTTAACATTTAACTTACCATCGTTATTCGTGATAGTGACTGTTGCTTGAGCTGGTGCTTGTACTTCAACATTATCATCAGAGCCTGGGCTAAGCACGACTAATAACTGTTCATCAATTTCAAATAGGCTGTCATCATTTATTGGTATTAAGATGTTTCGGACGTTATTATTAGAATCACCCACAAGGAATGTGAGCACAGAGCTGGGTTGTGTGAAATCGCTGGTAACTTGTGCTGTCGTGCCTACTACTGCAACACTAAAAAATGAAAAAATAAAATTAAAACATATTAAGTTGACACCTTACTTAAATTATAAGGAACGTTTACAACTAATGTATTAGATATATCGAGAAAGTAAACTATAGAAACAAATGTTGGTCAGCCAGACATTTTATTCCTTGGTTTCGCCAACCGTTAAAATCTGAAAGCGAAAACAACTTGGAAATACTGTAACTACACCTCAACTGTTTTACAATTGGTAGTTTTGCGGCTTTGGCATAAAGTCAACGAAGCCATATATGAGGGCAACCCTTTCACTCTCTCTCCTCCGCAAAACTTACGTGACATGGAAAATATAAGGCATTCGACACGCGTTTTCAATTAAAACGTCTCTGCGGAGGAGAGAGGTCGTTTCGTTGGTTAATTTAGTCATACATTATTAATGAATTTGAGATATTTACCTGACATTCACGTTAGTCTGTAGCGGACCAGCTAGGTTCACCAGTCTTACACCAAGGACGGCAATACCAACATTTTCTGGGAATGAGTAAGTTGCGTTTACATGTTCCACTCGCGCCTCTAGAATAGAAAAGGCACAACGATTTGTAGTTCATGTATAGTTGGTATCAATCTGAAAAATGAATTCTAAATAAATTTGTTTTAGTAATGCTGTAATTTGTTGTAGTAATTTAGTAACTTTTTAAAATTTAGTATTTTTATCCTCTAAATTGAATATGACATTTGAATAAATAATGCCCGCGAGGAATGCTGGTCCTAGTAGTCATCGCCCAGGAAAATTGGATAGTGGCAATTTTAAATTGTTTAATTTTCCCGGGCGATGACTACTAAGACCGGCATTCCTCGCGGGCATCAAGCCTTGTGACGTCATTATGCACAAGGTTTATTGCCTTCGAGTAATTGGGAAGACTGCTACAGATTACTCTCAAATCGTGGCATCTAGATTGGTAATAAATTAGTACTAATCAGTAATGGTTATAAATCAGCAATACAGTAACTATCATAATCAATAACGGTAAAAGTCAACACTAACTCTTGTCATCAATAATTGAAATAAATCAATACTAACTATCATTATCAGTAATGGTAACTATTGTTTCTCCAGTGTTTCCAATTTCAGTGTTTGCTGCATCTCGTAGTTGCAGGCTGACTCTAAACTGTTCTGAAGCTTCAACGAAGTTATCATTCGTGATCGTAATTTGAAGAGTCTGAATTGCTGATCCGCCCGGGTTGAAGGTAATGGTTCCAGCAGCGGCAGTGTAGTCAGCGGTAGAAGCTGTGCCTGTCAGAGTTGCATACCTGTGGAAATTGTGAAACAATGTTAAAATGTTAGATTATTTTCAAGCATAAAAACCCCGTTCCAAGTTGGAAGGAACGTGTGCTGAAATAGAAAACTGCTGCACTTCATACACTCATTACCCAAAGGTCCCAAAGTGCAAAAATATTCTACTTGTGGTGGCCTGGAAATGGACATCTAGATTGTTCCAAGACCAATTTCCAAGACACATATTACCATTTTCATATTATGCCACGTCGCCGAGTTTTTCAACCACGGTCCAACGTTGTGATTGGACAACTTTACGTTTCATATGTCAAAATTATAGCAATGACATGGGGGGGGGGGTGAATAACGTTGAGTTTTGCAACGGTCATTTTTCTTTCTTGTTGAGTCAATACAATAGGAAACCAAAATAAAGTTACAAGGACTAATAGTTTTCCCATCGTTTGACAAATTAAAGGTATTTTTGAACAGTATTGTCATTTTAATCATACAATGAAACAAAAATACTAAACGGTAAAAGTGCCAGAGGAATTTATAGCGATATATAAATCATATTGAATAGAAAATAACCGTTGCAAATGTCATCACTATTTTGACATGTGAAACGTAAAGTTGTCCAATTACAACGCGGGTTGCAAAACTCGGAAACTTTTTATTGTGATGTGGGTAGATTTCAGTTTGGTATCTAGTGTAAACATCATCTTAGTTGGGTATTTCTCAGGTATCGAGATTTCAGTTTGGTATTTAGTGTAAACACCATCTTAGTTGGGTATTTCTCAGGTAAAGGTTAGTCTCGGGTGAATTTTTAGGGCAAACATGGCTTTAGGTCTTACCCGACTTCAACTGGTCTTCGAAGATCACCTGATACAGTGATGGAGACATCAACACGATTAGCTGTCTCCAACACGACGTACGATGGACTCTGGAAGTTAATTACTGCCTCTAGAAGATAATATGAAATCTAGTTAGAATATACATTGACTGAGTGAGCAGTTATTCACAAAGGTACGAAATATATACTACTGGGAAATATATGAACATCTTCAATAGCAGAAATTACAACTTACACGGAAGTAGCTATATCAATGTTTTGCTTAAATGATCGTTGAATGAAGAGGTTTGGGACCAGTAATTATACCCCAGTTACACGATACTGGACATGAACATATGCCGCTCAGGAATAATGACCTCTCATAACATTTCCCCCTTTTTTGTCATGCATATAATCGCAATTGCAAGTGATACGTGGTTCCTGAATCGATTAAATTCGATGTTGTACCAAGCGAATCCAATATTTTGCTGCTGGGGGATGGTTTCATAAGTCAGTTGGTCAACCGGAATTCTGACACAATTTTGGCAGCCCTCCCCCGCCACGACCTCTCTAACGTAATGCGTGAACGTTGAACAAAGTTGGGAGTGAAGATTTCATTTCGTATGACCTCAGATTTCATCAACACATCAATATTCAGCGTTGCCTCGTTCTGTAACTAAATTCTCAATGTCGATTTAGTCCTCTTTTCGGATTGGAATTACTTAATCAAATTACATCGCTATTAATTACTGCATTTACATGCAACAGTTTCATTCATTCATTCATTCATTCATTCATTCATTCATTCAAGAAATATTCAAGATATATCTCTATGATATTTTAGACAAATTGTCCATAGCGCGATACCAAGTGATGAATTAGTTGGGCGTTACCTCCTACTGTGTTCGCTGTTGCAAACCCCTTTTAAGCTAACACCCAATTTAAGCGGACACATTGGTTAATAGGGGTTCCACTCTAGCAAATAAAGTTTGTTTGTATGTATGTGTATGTATGCCTGTATTATACCGCTGTTGGGAATTTCAGAGTTAATTTATGAGAAAATAATTAAACTCTTTTTCTTCACCCCGAAAAGATACTGAATATTAACTCGACTTACTGTCATCATCCAGAATTGTCACAACAGTTTTAGATGGATTACCAAGTTGCGCAGGAGTGGTAGATAATGGTACACTAAGTTGCACTTCGAAAGTTTCATCATATTCAACTAGGGAATCGGAGAGGATCTGTACTGTGAAACTACGAGTCTGGCTTCCAGAAAATGGCGTGAATGTCAAAAGTGAATTCGTATTAACATAGTCCTGTCCAGAGAACGCCCCGTCATTTAAGTTAGCCAAACTACGGGAAATAAGAAGCAAAATAGTTAGCATTGTATATACACATCGAGATTATTACTATTATTATTATTATTATTATAAATTTCCAAACTAGCAGTAACAACTGAATTACTTTGGAATTACAAGGTATAAGAACATAGGTATTCAATCTATTCTATATTTAATTACAGGTAAGAATAGGTAAGTTAGATAAAAATTACGATAATAAACTAAAGTTTACTTATTATTATAAGCACTTTCAATGAAGAAAAACTCCCTGGCCATCGACAGTATTTATAACCGATTAGGCATTATAACCTGACCGATTACGCTGAAACGATAACATAACCCGTCCCCCTGGTTATAGTTGTGAGACTCTCTGCAGTGGTTTTGGGTTCCATTGTGATTTACACAAGGAGAGTTTTATAATGTTAATTTGCGCAATTATTTATAATTAAATTAACCTCCCGATCTATAAGTGGCCCAACTTTCAATGTCATAGACTGTAGCATGAACAGAATAGAAATCCATTTTTGTATTGAATTGCTTGTTTCATTCTACTTCTTTCATTTGAAACTTTGTAACTATGTTTAGTGATGGGAAATATCCGATCGGGATGACTTTCAATGCAAAAATGGATTTGTATTAAAAAATTAGTCTTTCTTCTGTTTCACAGATTATATTGATGCATACTTGACTTGAACACTAGTGGTCAACTGCTGAGCAACTGCAATGACTTCTATCTGATGATTAAGTATTCCTTCACTAAATGAGTACGCGGCTTCAACAAACGACACTGTTATTTCTGAAATAAAAATAAAATTTCAGCAAACCTGGAAGATATAAGCTATTTAAAATACAAAACAAGTGAAACTCCAAAAATCAATAACATTTTTATTTATCTACGTTTCGACTGTATTTCAGTCATCATCAGGATAAACTAGCTAGGTTATATATCAAAAGCGGTATTTATATGAAGAGATATGATACAATAGTTAGGTTGATTATTAACGAATTAATGAAATATGATTAGTTCTTTAGAAGCTTTAAGTCCATGATTAAGTTCAGGTGTAATAGTAGGTACATCGGCAAAACTGATCGCTGCTTATACACCAGAACTAAGGAACATTCATATCACACAGAATCTGTAATCCATCAACACCTCTCTACTTGCGAACAGTTTCAACATATTAAAGTCCTTTTAGAACTTTATCCCGACGATGACGCAAAGTCTGATCAAACCAGTATAATGGCTGAACATGTTTTCAACAACACTAAAATAATTGATAAATCTAACCATTGGTCCCTTTTACTATATCAAGAATCCCTCGCTATTCAAAGATATAAACCTGAACTTAATCATGGACTTAAAGCTTCTAAAGAACTAATCATATTTCATTAATTCGTTAATAATCAACCTAACTATTGTATCATATTTCTTCATATAAATACCGCTTTTGATATATAACCTAGCTAGTTTATCCTGATGATGACTGAAATATAGTCGAAACGTAGATAAATAAAAATGTTATCGATTTTTTTGAGTTTCACTTGTTTTGTATTTTATTAAAATACTCAGTGGTTCTAAAAATAAGCTATTTCGTGTACTGATTAACTAGATGAATAAAAGGCCTATAATATAAGAGTTTTGGTGACAAAGAAAACCGGACACGCAGAAAAACCCTCGAAATCTTCCAGAGAATCAACCAAACACTTCTTACATGAGTTTTCAAGTACCAGGAAGCGGTACGAAATAAAGATACCATACCTTCGACTCAATGCTTCGACTTAATACAGTAGCTGACTCAACTTAGCAGTAAGGGTCAGCGCGCTAGCACAATCTATACCATTCAAGCGCTCCGCTGCCACCCATACTCCTCAAATCTTCAGTAAAACGAAAATGTATCAATATTAATCTTATTCCTTTGTCAATCAATCAACTTTTATAATGACGGTTGTAGGATTGTACCAGTGTACCAGTGAGCTCCATATATATCTGGAACGAGAAGTCGAGCCGAGCCAAGATGGCGGAAATTGATGAGCAATTAACCTTTCACGAAGGTCTAAATCCGCCATTTTTCGATACTATTTTATAAACAACGTGAAAAATCTAAGCGATGTGAAAATAATTTTTCAAACATTTAACTGTAAATCGATTTATAATGATTATACTTACAACTATAGTTAAAGAGAGTTTCGTTTTCACTGGTTACTATCCCTGTTCAGGTTGGACTAAAAAGGTTGGACTAAATATCACTGGAAGGCTCAGTCAGGGGGGAGTTGAAGCCGTGCTTGAAGCTTTCTTTGTAGGTAGAACAGATACAAATACAAAATATTTTAAATACAGATATTTCACAGCACACTCCCTATCAGGAATTTTCAGTGACTGGTTACATTATGAATAGATAGATAGAACCGGACTGACGTGAAGCAGACCGAGGTAGACTTTGAGCTTACAAATGGCGCTTGAGCAGCCACTATTAGTCCATACCTCATTAATGATCTGCCTCCAGACCTTATGTGCCTAACCCACCCTGTCAACTTTCCCTGTGGGTGGAAACACAGAGTACCCGTAGAAAACCCACGACTTTCGGCAGAGCGTTGACTTTTACTCTTTTCACATGAGGACTGAGTTCGAGTCACATTGAGAAGTCCTCATTCAGATTCGAACCTGCGACCTTAGAGGTAAAAGACAAGTGCACTAACCACTTCGCCACCGAAGCCCCTTTTATCCAGTGAAAAAAGAACCAGTTCTTTTTTTGAAACAATTGAAAAAAGAACTGAACCAGTTCTTTTTTCAATTTCCCCCCCCCCCCCCCCAAAAAAAAAAAAATTACTAGTTTTACCACCGAATTTAATTTATATTAGTAGTATGATAAACGAATTTAATTCTCGCAACTAAACAAATCACAAATTTGCAAAAAAAAACACGAAAAATAAGTATGAACGGTCGGAGGGGCTTTTTCTGAGTTTTTGAAAATTTAAGATAAAACTAAGACGTGAAACATCAGGAACTATTTAAACCCATGTAAAATACATCTGCATGCGAAGTTTCAACAAGATTGAACGTTTTATGGTCGAAAAAAATGCATTTAAAAATTGACAAAAAACATTGCCATATTCAAATAAATGACGAAAATAACAACACTTGAAACCCGTCAACTGATTATTCATTTCAAAATACAAAAGCAAAACTCCTCACTTTTTGCTGCAGAGAGATGTAAAACAGTCAGAACTAATCGGAAAACCAGGTTTGAATCCCAATCATTGTAGTATTCCCATGGAAAAAGTGTTTTTCTTGCAAATTTTTGCTCAAAAACAAACTTTTGACCGAATTTTTTCACTCCTAGAAACTCTCATTAGTCCTTTTGAAAGCTTATTTTCCCGCGCGTCGGCTCGACAAATCGTAGGCATAGGCATTCTTCATAGGAGTTAGCCTTCCTGTTTATTTCAATGAATTGGACAGTTCTAGTCCCTTTCTATTGTTTTTGTCTGCGCGGTAAATACAAAGCTGGCAAGGAGTGTGCCGAAATTTCGTATTTTGACATCGACCTAAAGAATAACATTTACCCTAAATAATTGTTTAGCGATACCCTATTAAAACTGTTTGATATGGTATTAACACTGTTTACGACCTTCATCGCTACTGGACGTCAATGGCCGCCATCTTGGCTTCACTTTCTCCTAGGCTGGATGACTGAAGTTCTTGCTCCAGATATATATAGAACTCACTGGATTGTACGCATCCTCGTTCCCAGGGTCTCGCGCGACCTTCATAGGGATACACGGAACCGAAAGTGCAAGAAAACTTAGCACCCGTAATAATTTTCACAGACAAGTATTACGAAGAAACGAAGTACTTGTGTTGGCATATTTTGATAGAAAAATTTTTCCTAGCGAAAATTACTCAACTTCTGCGAAATAGCAGTTCTCTGAGAAGCCAATCAGATCTCTCCCTTTAGTCGTCTAACTTTAATTGATACCTTTACACAAGGGTCATGCATGACAGTGGAACTGATAAACTAGCGGCCCTCGTATCATATGTTACATGAAAACACTTACTATCATTATCCAGAATTAAAATCACTGTACTAGTTGTATTAACTGAGGCATCATTTGTACTTGGTGTGAGTTGTAGAGATTCTGGTCCTTCAACAATTAGGTCATTGTTAATGAAGAGTTGGACTGCCTTGGTGTTACTAACATCACTAGGAGTGAACGTAACTACTGTTGTTAGTAATGAGTAATCAGCTGCACTCGTAGTAAGATCATTGACACCAATGCTAAAGAAGAAATATTAAGCAAATATAATAAGAACACAATAGGGCCATTTATACGGAACAAAATAAGTCGCGACTTACATAAGACGCGTCTTATATAAGCGGAGTTATCGTATAAATGGTTCTCTACGTCTCTAGTCTTATTTACTTGCTATAGCAATGTTGTTTTTGTTTTAATATGCAAGGCTAATAATCCCCGAGCCGACGGCGCTAAGCGCCGTGCGAGGGTACTAATTCCCCCCCGGCTATTTACACCCGGGGAAACGAAAGCATTAGCGAAGTCTAAAGTTCATCAAATATCGCGGGCGTGACCAACGAACTAAAGTTCATCAAATATCGCGGGCGTGACCAACGAGTGGGTGGTCATCCTCACTGATCTCAAAAATATGGCTGATTGCTTGTGAAAGTGGGATAAGCAAGAGTTCAATTTTAAAAGACATATATTTGGAAAATCGTTTCATATACAACAAGCTTGAAGCAATTTTGTTTCAAGAAATGAGAAGAATTGATTTACTATGGGAAATCGGGAAATATACGGCAAGTTTGCTTTGAATTTTGTTGCTTTAACTTTATATATATGCCTAAAAACATGAACTGTTTTCCTTTTCAACGAAGCTCTAACTTTCATAAATTACCGTTTAATTTGAACAAATTGATTTGAAGACTGAACTAAAATTACCTAACAATGTGTTTTGTGTGTAAAACAGTTTATCGGCAAATGTAGTTTAGTTGAATGAACATTTCAAAAATTTCACGAAGCGTTTCAAGTTAAATTTTACATTAAATCAAAGCTCACAAAATGCAAAATAATATACCTACAGTGTATATTACGGAAATTTATTGTTGTATAGTTAAAAGTACGAATCTTTCAACTATTTTGCAGTTTTGTACAAAAATATGAAAAAATTAAAAATTTAAGATATCGTGTTGTCATGGCAACACTCAAGCGCGAGCCTGCGTTCAGTCATAGATTATAGATCATACTAGATGTCTCACTCAGCCAAAATTGTGTCCGCGATTGTCCGCGATTTTTTATGAGCACGCATTGGCCGCCATTTTGGCAGTAAGTGTAATCCACGCCATGAAACGTGAGCAATTGGCAGTAAGCGCCATTTTGGCAGTAAGTGTCGCACGCGTCATCTGGCGTGATAGCCTCGCGAAAATCGCGGACACGAAAATCATAGGGATAGATACACAGTGAGACATCTGGTATGATCTATAATCTATGGTTCAGTGTCGGCCATTTCTGAATACTTCATGTTGATTTAATGTTTGGAGAATATTAGCGAGGGGTTACTGCATGCATGTATTTCTAGTTTTACGTTGTTTCAAGTTTCGGGCATGTGTGGTTGGACTTTTTATCCAAAATGTCTTATTTAAGACGCGACTTAAATAAGAACAGCTAAAAATCCTGTTCTTACTTAAGTCGCGTCTTATCCAAGACGCGTCTTGCATAAGAATTTTGTACCTTTTATACGACAAACTCGCGTCTTATGTAAGTCGCGACTTATTTTGTCTCGTATAAATGGCCCTAATATTATTGTATTGTATGAAAAATACCTATGTGTATACTTTAATCTATCTCATTCTCTCAACCAATGACCTTGTTTTTTAATGTGTTTATATGTGCTCTTAAAGATTTGAAGCGTAGTTTACTCATACTGTTTTCTTGTTCAACTAGATTTAACTTTAAATTCTTCATAATAATAATTTAACCAATTTTTTGTATACTTTACTTACAATTCTTTGAACTGGGATAAAAAATATTTTCAGGTGCTCTCAAAATTTCGCATGTCTTACCTTACAGCTATATTTTTTCCAATGTCGCCATTTAAAACAAGGTTAGCCGTAACGAGACCAACGTTCTCTGCCACCGAGTTGTCTGCAACTTGCCAGGAGAGGGAAACGACTACAAAACGATAAAACGTATTTTCATCCGATCGTAAACAGAAAGCTGTCAACCACACACGTGAAAATTTCACCTTGTCAACAAGATGTGTTGCTTATCAACACGTTCTAACAATGTTGTTATCAAGTTGTTAACAAATTGTTGACTTGTCAACGAGCTGGAAACAAGCAGTGCGAATACATCCTCCCGATAACCAGTTGGTACAAGCCTACTGCACGTTTGTTACAAGTTGTGCGTTTTTGCGTATGTATACTCAATTGTCATCGTTTATTCTGCATGGTTATCACAAAAGCTGTTCTCCGTACATCAACGAAAAAAATTTATCAGCAATTTTAAAAAATTACCATAGTCAGCATTGTTTTCTTAGAACTTGTAATATAATAGCTTGGTTCCTGCTGTGCCCAGGTAGTAAATACAACAAACATTTACTACCTCACCACATGCTATCCACTATACTAATCCCTCCAAGTACATAAGTAGACTCACTTTCATCTACTGAGATGTATTCTGTATGTATTATTGAAAATGAAAACCCATCGTGGAATAGTATATTATCCTTTAGTTCAAGTCGATGCTACTAAATCTATTAATATTATTATTGATGACGTATATTGGGGTTAAGAGGACTATTATCTCTAGCTAACAGTATTAGCTGTGTGGAAACGTATCTGGACAGATCCCAATGGAGAAACGTCAAACGAAATTAAAATGATCAATCTTAACAATGGGTATAGGTAGCTTACACTAGTTGGGAAAATACAGAACAATTAGTCAACTCTGTACATTTGATACAGAACGTTTGGTCAACTTGTCTGTTCGACGACACATGCACATAATCGAAAAATTCAGTATTTTTTTAAACCATAAAATGAAACCCACCTATTGGATAAAATAAATTTTAAAACCACTTACAATCGTCATCCAGAATAGTAACTGTTGCTGTGGGTATTACAACTCTCGTATCAGAATCTGAACTTGTAATAAATACAAGAAATTGTTCATTATTTTCCACTATTTGATCGTCAAGAATGTTGATAATTACTGGTTTCTGCCCAGTTTCTCCAGCTTGGAATGTTACATTGGTATCCGGTATTTGTTGAAAGTCCGTACCACCAGTGGCAGATACGGGAGTAACCGATAAACTAAAAATTAATTGATTTTATTTATTTATTTATTCAGATTAATAATTAAGAACTTTAATTAATATTTATTGTGATTACTGGATTGGGATTTATATAATATTTGTTTTGCTATTTTTGTTCACATTAAGAAAAGCCTCATATTCTTTAGAAATGACATGAGAAATGAAATGTTTTGTTTTGAGCTGAATAATTATTTTTAAGGCAAACAACAGAAATTGTAGACACTAGTAGTATCACTTCATCTTTAAACATCGCCTTGCTTACCTAACTTGAATGACATCGTCAACCTGACCAAGCAACTGAACAAAAATAACAACGATCCCGTCCGATTCCCTGACATCGTAAGTACTTGACGATAAAGAGATAGTTCCAACTGAAAAAAAATCAAGATATTATTATTATATTGTTATAATATATATATATTTTAGTTATGTAAATATGGTGAGTATCGCTCGTGCATATAAATGAACATTACCCCAAAAACAAGATAATCGGAAATAAGCGAAAAGAGGGTGGCGATATTGAACGTTCACGTACGTACATTGTTAACTTCCAAACATATTCAGTATTCAAGAATTTTTCCCAGTTCAATTCTACAACGTAAATAATACTGTAAAATAAAATGATACTGATTACTTACAGCAATTCACTGTTGGTGCTGTTGAAAGTTGAACCAAGATTCGATGAAGTGTCAATTTCTCATACTCGCTACAAAGTCGGAACGCACTGACATCGCCCCATGTTGTTGTATTAATGAAGTTAAGGAAGACTTGATCCCAGCCATAGAGACATCCCAATTGCGGCACTGTTAAACCTGTGTATTGTGCAACGACATCTGCCACAGTTCTATTCCAGACTTGCCGGAGAACTAGGTTATTTGTTGCCAACAGATTTTCCAAAGGTGTGGTTTCGATGGTTATCTTCCCCCGGACGATAGGTATAATGTTTACGCTAAACAGTGTATGATACTCTGGTAATGACATCGCATAAATATCTGCTTCGTTTCGTCCAAGCAGACACGTCGCCAGTGCGTTTGTGGATACTCTTGGCGAGAAATAGATAGGCGAAGGATTGACCTGAATTGACGGATTCCCGTCGGCCTGGTCAACCACTGCAATATGACTACCAGCGGCCAGGTTCACAGACAGAGCATCTGCTGCATGAGCAAAAGAAGCTTGAATAACAGCAATAACAATCCGTGACCATTCAAAAGACGGAAGAGTTGAAAGAATATGCATGTCCACTACGCCAGGTACACCAAGTAATGGAGGCAGGTTAGATATAGAATATCTGTCGACTAATGCTTCCAGAATTATAGCATGAAGTTCAACCACAGGTAAGTTAGATAGTTGTGATAAAGGTGTTTGTGTTAGACTGATTAATTCATTGTAACTATACCCATACGTCGTAAGCAACAGATTTCGGAACGTAGGATTATTGATTGCCAGGAAAGGTCCAAGTGTTCCTGTTACATTTGAGTTCTTTAATGATGCAATTACTTGAGGCAAGGAGCAGGTTCTGATGAATGTTGTAGTTTGACTTGCTGCAGTTGCAACATGACTTACTGATGGTATTTCTACCCAGATTCCTTCGTCTATATCCAACTGAAGAATATCATCCATAACGAACCAACTTGAGATGTTAGTAGTTGTCATGAAGATGTATAGGGAATTTCGAATTTCAACTGCGGTCAGAGCATTAAACTTAGCCTCAACTTCGTTCAGAGATCTTGATAGAACGTAAGCAACGTTGCAGGTCGGCTCTGTTGCTCCTTGCCCAAACAACACTGTAGATACAGCAAGCAACGAGTTTGATGTAATGACAGAGCACTGAGACAAGTAGCTTGACAACGGTATATTTTCAATAGCATACAGTTGAGGTTTCTGCCAATCATACAGAATTTCCAGATCACGAAGATTGAAATTAATCGAAGAACCACCAGCAAAAGATAACATTGTTTCAGCTGCGCCTTGGGCTTGAGTTAATCCTGCGATGACATAAGCAGCATCAAGAGACCTTGTTTCAAACAGGTTCTTACGAGCTTGAAGTAATAAAAAGTTCGGGAAGAAAGTGTTGGTCAAATCATCAAGTGTATAGCCATATAACGTAGCGAGGTTCGTACGAAGAAGCTCAGCCAATTCTGATACAGTAACACCAAGAGTATTAGCCCTACACTGAACTGCTTCCTTAACAATTTCTGGTACAAACAATGCCCATTGGTGTTCCAAGAGAACGTTGGAGGACATATTGAGTCTTTGCTCGATTACAGCCATATCAAAGCAGTAAATATCTTCCAGCGTTTGAACAATTAAATTATGCAACTCCAGCACTGTGATAGTATCAGGATTTCCTTTCAGATTCTCCATGGTTTTTCCAGTGACTCGCGTGATTTCGCTTATCTGTAGATCCAGACACCATGTAGTACAGTTGTAAGCAGACAAATCATCAATAATCAGTAAACCTCGTTCTTCCAGCACGAAAACATTGCTTATTACACTAGACATTGATGAACTGAGGATTCTTGTCAAATCATAAATCGTTGATAAGGTCAAATCATCATAAATTGTAGCTTTGGCATAGAGTTCTACGTTTTCTGGTCGGGCGACTTCTGCATCTTTAAAATCTGGTCGAGGAATACCCACTATGGGAGCAATGGAAAGAGGGACCCTTATCGTCGTGAACGTGGCAGTAAAAACAGGAGCAGGAATAAATGGAAGGGAGACGAGGAAAATCCATATTATCAGGTTGGGAATCATTGTTTGATCTATGAGACAAAATAAATGTGGTAAATACTCTTTAACAATTAGTCGCCGAAGGCGAGGTGATTACAAGCCTATATTCACCGAGCTGAAGGCGAAGTGAATATAGGCTTGTAATCACTGAGCTTGAGGCAACTAATTGTTTTAGTATAATTTCAGTATTGAAAAAGGTTTATTTATAAATACAACTAATTAATACACGTGTTTATTTTATGAATATACTTTGCACAAATAATTTACTTCCGTCTGATTTCCAGCCATTTTTTTCTTTGAAAAGCAATAGTTCCGCTCAGAACAGTCTGAGCAGTAACTACTGCCTCAAGCTGGTTTTCCACTAGCGAATTTCTTCGCGCGAAGCGACCTTTTTCCTTTGTCGGTATCAATTATTACGTCAACAAGACGTGGCAAAATGGATGCCGACAAAGGAAAAAGGTCGCTTCGCGCGAAAAAGTTCACTAGTGGAAAATAGCCTTCAGAGTTACTGCTGAGGGAGCCAATTAGAATGCTCAAAGGCCATTTTTCAAAATTGTATAGTCTCTGGGTTTCTTTTGTTTTATGAAGGAAGGATGATTATCATTGATTACAACTAGAAACAATCATCCTTCATAAATCTTGCTTAATAAGTTAGTTACGATTAAGACTATCATACCGAATTACAATCAACTGCATATATTAACTCTTATCAGTGACTCTTGTGTGTGTATGGTGTACCAGGTCGTTTTTCACCCTGAGGTTGTTATGCCCATAACTATGAACAACTCGGGAAATAAACCACTAAGTTCCTTAAAGATTTAACCAGGGTTTATAAAACGTCTGGAAGTGAAATTTTGCGCTAGGAAGCCAGCCAGATACATACAGATTCTAAATGAAACACGCCTGATCTGAGTTTAGTTAATAATATTTAATTATTATTTATTTAAAAGATTCTTGGTTCTTGATTGGCTAGCAATAACAGTAAACTGTGAAATCGTCATATCAACTTAATAGCTCACCAAATATGCAGTTTTAGACAAAATATTCAACGGAGTGACGTCATAACGTTGAATATGAAAAGAATCATATTCAGCAGCGTTATGATTTCATGCTGTGAAAATACGAATACGAAATGTGTAAACACGACCAACACAATATGGCCGTGTTTGCAGGTTTAAAGGAAACATCTTTTAAAATGTCGGAAACGAAGCCATGGGGATAGGCAAATAGAGAGTGTTGGATAGGCAGCAACTGTCGCCCGACTTGAGCAAGCGCCCGCGGAACAGGGGGCCACCCCCCCCCCCACACACACACACACACACATACACACACACACACACACACACACACACACTTTCCGAAAACAGAGAATCAGAAGTTATTTATTTGAATAAAGACTATCATACTAGGTTTCTTACCATTTCAAAATAAAGAAATTTCATTTTCATGATCGGATCAATGATATTTGGCACTAAGAGAGTAAAATCTAGCATTAACGTGTTCAAACATATTTGAGATGGCTCGATTTGGTAAAAAAAAACATTTCAAATTTTTTTGATTTTCGTTTATGTGGGAGTATGCCAATGTCGTCGTCTCTATACGATGATATTTTTGGCATTCACAGGATCTTGATTTTTTAGTATAATGAATGATTTTGTCACAGGATGAAACACATGTCACCGGACAAAATAATGAAACCAATTGTTCGGTTTTCGGAAAATAAGATTTATTGGCAGCAGCAATTCGCATTGCGTGAGAAAGTCGCGTTCTCTTCAGGTCAATTTAGAAATTTCTTTGTTGATATTCCTGCATTAATGATCGCGTGCGACTTTGTTTATATGGCACAAAACCGCGATTCGATCTTGCTTGATTTTGTGAAATTTATATTCCTAGAATTTATAGTTTCGATATGTAAGGTGGCCGAGATTTTCCAGTGGTTAACGTATACAAATCTTTTCACTGATGAAGCTAAAGCAACCTCTAAACACAAACTCTCTATTTACATACACACAATCTGCACTTGACTTGGTACATTTCAATCTCTCAGCTATCAATGACCCGATTTTAGGGCGTTTTAGTGGGCGAAAGACGAAATGAGGTTTTGCCAAATAAGATGCTCTGAGTGAATGACTCACTGTGTTTGATTGAGTTCATGGCATGTTTACTTCATGCCTAATCTACTAAGACGTGCTTTAAATTGACAGGTCAATTCTAGTTACATACTGAGCTTTATAGTGTCTTGCAGTTATATCGGTGGCTTCAGCAAGCTCTGTGGGTCAACATATGGTGGTCAACCTTAACTGTTAATTTAACACTTAAAGGAGCAACAAAATTACATCTCTCAAATCAATTTATTGGCCACCAAACATAAGATAACGATACAGTATATAATTAGAAGAGTTTACGCCATTTTCGTCTGGTTGACTACCATCTGCTGCACGACAGGGCTTGTAGTGACCATAGATAATAGTGGCAAGTTGAAGGGATTTGTATAGATGGTAATTTCGAGTGGAATTTTTTATACATTTATTTGACCAAACCAGTTGCGAAAAAATGCAACTATCGGCTCTCTGAGGCCCTGCGATTCCACTGCAGCACTCTAACCAACTGAGCAGCCTGAGCTACAGAGGCCTGTTATCGAGCTCCAACCACAAGTTCATGCAAAAATACTATTATAGGTGATGCCAATGTACGGTGTATGCGTAAATATCAGGATTTTGAGCATTTCACTCGAACAACTAATTGTTGAAGGTATTTGTAGATGGAAACTTCGAGTGGAATTTTTGTACATTTATTAGACCTAACCAGAAGCAGTTGCCGTGAAATAGCGCAATAAAATATCATGACAGCCATCTCGCTAAGAGCTCACTCATGTACATGCATCAGGACTTCAACTCAGTACTTCATCAGGACTTCAACTTCAACTCATCGCTGCTTGAAATGCAATCGGGATCTATGACCATGTTCTAACATACGTAACATGTTAAAATATGATACGTCAGTAAAGAATTTAATTTAGTAATACATGCATGCCTGTCTTTCTTGGCCAGGAATAACATGCCGACCTCACAAATATTTGTGTATAATTATTTAAATTTCAGTTTGAATGGCCAACGCTTAATTATCTATGCATGGTAGGTTTACATTGTGCTAAAAAATTGTACTCATTTCAAATTAAAAGTAAGCTAAAAGCCGTACATCATTGCTTAAAATTTGTCAAAACTTGGACTGAAGTTTAGATAATACAATATCATTGACATAATGTTGAAAAGTGTACGGTTTTATTTCAAATATTTCCAGGTTTCGTAATCTTTCATTGAGATGATCGGGAATTGCATGCTGTGAATAGAGATGCTAATGAGTGGTCATAAAGATGAGTTATTAAGAAATTCTTATTATAATGCCGACATCATTTTTGTTTTCCAAACACGAAATAAATTTAAAATCACGAAGAAAGATTCCCCTTTTGGCACGGTGTTTCACTTATGAAGGCAGTTAAATTTTAGTTGTTGTTTTTTTATAACTCGACGAATATCAATGCGTTACGTAGTAGGTCAATATACAAACAAATGAATGTCAAGTTCTGAAATAAAGGTTGTATTTTAATTAAAGTATTTTGCAGCAATTTTCAACTTCTCCATTCCTACTACTTTTATTTTCATTTTAAACAGCAATCATAACTACGAGTGCATGTACACAACTATCTAAATGGTTTCAAGGAAGTTGTTTTAAACGACTGTGTGACGAGTCCACTTAAAAAGCACTTGCCCTCACTGTAGTTGCTCTTAAGTCGATGCAATATAACAAGAGAGTCAATAAACTCTTATAACAATTATTAAAAAATGCAAAATATATACTACGTATTGTATATATCTTATTTTAGCCCTGCATGTAGTGTGACGCTGTTGTCGTTAATTGAAATGAAAGCTCTTCTATGAACATGTCAACTGGCTTGGGATTCAACAAGTATAGACAAGCCTTCGATTTAGGATAATTCAGTTGTGCATGGGTTTACGTAGGTTGTCATATACATGTTCATCATTGCAAATTTTTGACTAAATATTGATGAGAGATATTGATAATTCTAACACAGGCATGCGTGAAAAAATAAATAGGGCGCAACTCCCATAGGAGTCTATATATATATTTTAAAAATGTTTAACTAAACCGCTGACACTGGTATCCAATATTCATGATATTGAGTTAAAATTAAGAAAATACACAGGACAGTAAAACCTGTCCAAATTCCTATATCTATATAAGAAATTTACCTTAACGGCGACCTGCACCCAGTCAGAGAATCGACCGCTAAATATCTGCTGAAATCTTCCAATCTGCCTTGGTTCCGCTTCAACTGATCACAAAATCTACAAAGAGGCAACAGAGAACATTGATTATGATTTCAAATACAACATAGGTCGTTTCACCACAACTTAAAGGTCACCACAAAGTTGAAGAGAAAATCAAATCGATAGAAGTCAGACATCGTAGACAAATGACTACGCCATCGAGCAATTAACTAGCTGAGTTTTCAGTGTTTAGTGACTTTAGTGTTAGACTAACGTCGTCTGTACAGTACTTTTCAAAGTAATGGTATTACCGATCTACATGAGAAAAAATAATCAAGTTTTTCATACCTGAAGTTTAAAATTTGAAGAGTCTATAAAGACGAGCCGTATAGAAATCCACACACTCGGAGTGAGCGCACGAATGACTTTAGTATGACAAAAATTAGGCACCCTGGGTGCACATTCAATAGTATGGTGATGACTATAGTCCGCCAAAATCCAATCAAATTTGAAATCATTGTTTATAGTCAAAGCTGTTGGCCGTTTACTTGGTTGCCACAATATTAAGTAAAGACTAAAAATACTACAGATGCTACTAGTCTAACCTAAACTAGCGTGATGCACACGTGAAGAAGTATTATATCTGTGTAATAAAGTACTATATAAATACATCCCATATTTTATAGACCAAACATGTGTGTTAACTTTTTGTATGCTAGAATATGCATGGTTTTATTGGGTGATGAGATCAGTAACTTTTAGGGAATTCGAAGGTATAAGGGTAATGACTACCAGTTCCCAAAAAACATAAGCCTGCTTAAAAAAGTGGAGCTTGACATAGAATATGGAATGTTCTAAATCTAGGTTGCTATGCAACTGGAGACACCATGCTAAGTACGAACATTTAAATTATTTTCAAAGCAATATTTTGAATACGAATTGTTTAATTTTTGTTTGTATTCAAGAAACTACGAATATTTAATGTGATGGTGATAATGTGAACATATTGAAAGATATATAATGAAAACTAGATCTTCGTCTAAATCATGACAACGTACGTGTTATAACCAGGCAGAACAGTTAGAACTGTGGGCGGTATGTTATACATTATGTCAGAAATAGTTTTGAGCTGTCGTAATAGGTTGAATTAACATTGTTTACCATAATATATGCAACAAGTTGCATGCATAGCGCTTTGTCTTTGACAGTGTTTTCTGGGTAATTTGTCGTGGGCTGAATCAGGCAATTTACAGTCAGCAACGCAATTTCTGATACAAAACATTATTACGTAAAAGTATTTGGCAGACATATGCACGCATGCATATCCCACATACTTAAAGCTGATTAAATACTTAAAGGCTGATTAATTGAGATGCTTAAAATGACAATGACTCGTACCTGCACATGCAGGCATAGCGAAAAAACACTTCTAATCAATCTAATCTATATATTGTACTATGTCTATATGTCGATTAACGATGGTCGTAATAATTATTGTTTATTTTTCAGTTTGCTTTAACCCTACATATCTTCGAACAGAAGATATTTTGTAAATACGATAGGCTATGAAAGAGAATTATGAAAAGAGCCTTAATTGTTCATGGAGTTAAAGCTCCTGGAGTCGGTTGTACGAAGGCTGGACTATCCACACGATAGTGACTTTTTCAAGCTTCAAGACATAACCCAGATTAATATCAGGATTTTTGGGCATCTCACTCGATTGAACTAATTGTCAGTGAAGGGTTTTGTAGGTGGAAATTTCGAGTGTAAATTTTTACATTTATTAAACCTACCCAGGCGCAGTTGCGAAAAAATGCAACTACAATCATGCAAATAATATCCGTAGATTTTAAAACGTAGTCTTCTCTTACTATATTTTGTAAAGCCATTTTATTTTTATTTCAATACAAACGTCCATGATCGTTTGAAATGGTACCCCCCCCCCCCCCCTTAGTACAATGTTGGTTCAAACCATGATTATTGGACCCCAGCATTGTAAAAGGGGGGGGGGGGGGGGGGGTGAATTTTTCAATAGTCACCAAATTAATTTCCATGATTGTATATATACACTATAGGCCCTCTGTCCGTGTTAGGTCTGATAAATGCATAAAGTTTACATTTGAAATTTACAAAACCCTTCAATAACCCAGATTAAACTTTACACTGTGAATTTCAAGCAGTTGAATCAACTCCGAAAGTGTTATCCTGTCACCGTTTTTGGTGTTGATTCACTCCTTGAAATTTTGCAGTGCATCACTTATAAATTAAAGGTTATTTTTATTAATTGTGAGGTCCACATTGTGAGGTAATTTTATAGCTTTTTAATTCATTTTACAATGAATATGCTGGAAGTGCGACCAGGATTGAACATAATGAGTTTTGAGACGTTCTCTGGTTGGAAATGTTTATTTATTACGAGCTTTCGGCTGCCAGACTGCAGCCTTCAAATCACTACCCGTTGAATAGCGCGCCATTCGGCCTTCGTACAACCGACCCCTGGCCACACTCGAAGTGCTCGGAAATTACCTTCCTCTCTGAATTTGTAAAGAAACGAACACAAATATCCGACGTTTCAGAGTTTTACGCCAAACATTCTTCGAAACATTAACATTATTATTAAAAAAACCCTGCGCGCAGTTTCACGCGTTTAATTTGATTACGGGGAAAGGGATGCGTGAGAGAAAAATGGCGGGATTTGCAACGTTAAAATCTGTAGGAAAGTAAAATATGAGCACGGGAGACCGGATATTCCTGGAGAACCTCATCACCGCGAACTGGAACGTTCTGAGAGCAACCAAATTTGCAACCATCTCAATGAGGCATCACAACAGTAACTTACTTTACTGTACATAGTGATGGTTTATAACCTTATATTATGTACTAGATAAAACATGAGCAGGAAAAATATGCAAGAAAAGTAAGTGCAGCTATTGGCGTTATGAGACGTATGAAACCTTTTGTTCCGATGCATACATTAGAATCTGTTTATAAAAGCTCGGTACAGCCATACTTTGATTATTGTTCCCCTTTGTGGGACACTTGTGGCAAGTTGTTAAGAGATAAGCTGCAAAAATTTCAATCCCGGGCAGCGAGGGTTGTAACGGGTGTTAATTATGAGTCTCGTTCGGCTGATGTTCTTAACTCACTCTCGTGGGACACTCTTGAAAATAGACGTTCCGGTGCCAAGTCAGTATTGATGTATAAGATACTTAATGACCACACTGCGCCGGCTCTTCGGGGGTCTTTTGTGGGAAGAGAAATGGATCAAACTAATTACAATCTCCGCAATACTGCAACAGACCTTACATTACCTAAGCCAAAAAGAGAATTTTTTTAAAAAAAGCTTTAAATATAGTGGTGCTTTGCACTGGTATCAGCTCCCAAATGAAGCGAAACTAGCAAGTTCGTTTCACTCGTTTAGATTAAATGTTGGATAGTGACATGCATACATTTGTATATAGAAAAGTGTGTATATATAGTATTTAGATATAGTTATTTACTTATTTATTTATTTTCAAACATTTTTAATATTTAACACGCCCCTCATGGAAATCAGCCCAGAGTTGATGGGGCTAGCGTGTTCCTTTTTGTTAATTTTAAATAAAGTATTGCCTGCCTGTATCAGTATCATATACAGTCGGATGCGAATGTTTTATCGTACTTAAAAAATGACCCATCTTATGAGTTCATTGGCGAAGTAAATTTAACAAGACGCTCTGCGGAGCGTTAACTCGCTGGGGCTATACTAGACTTGGTTAGGGCCTAAACTTCAGGTTAGTTGAAGTCCGTCTCTCATATTTTCGCACCTTTTTTGACCGCTCGCGTGCATCGCTATTTTTCTTGAACCCGAGTCTAGGGCTATACAAATACCCACATTACTGTACATGATACATACAGTACACAGCTATTTCAATTAAGATTTAAGGTCTTCCTCGAGCTAAGCGTGATAAGCGGAAAAGTCGATACCGGCACGAAAGGCTTACATGTAACACAGTACTAAAATGCGGTAGGCCCTACAAGTAAAGTTATATTTTATAGTACGCTACATTCTATTTCTTCAAGACTGTCAGCCGCCAGTTGGTCCGTACGCTAGGATTAAACTGCGCTTTAAAGATGCGGCACAGTCTGATCTGCGCATGTGCACAAGGAGCCCTCTTTTTATTTACAAACAGTTTATTTAGGTTTTTATTTCATTTTATGTTCTTGCAAAGCTTGATAGTTGTCTCTTGATAATTTATTATACTCTAGAATCATGAAAATATAAATAGTTGTCGAATAAAATTCAACATTTTGGATACGGGATACCGAAATGTAAACAAAGCCTTTGTTTACATACGGACTGTACCGCATCTTTAAAACGTTCAAAATAAAATATTTGGGGGCTTTTGGGCTCAAAATACTATCAAAATGAAGAGAGACGAATCCACTGGTATACGGCCGAAAAAGAGAAAACCAATGATACCAAAGTTATCAAGGATTAAACGTACTGCATTAATAATTTTGAGCGACTTGTCAACAATACAATTATTTCGCTTGGCTTTCAACTGACAAAGGCCATATTCGCTAGAATACTGTTGTTTAGTAATACTGTACATTTGACATCCGTAATTAGTACAATTT